TGCCATTCATACGCATTGCGTATCCGGCCCACCTTACGTTCGACTGTTTGGCATACAGGACGGCACCTTTGATCGTTGACGTAGATCGGAGCTTCGGATTCCATCCATTACTTGTGTGAAACGGGATACTCCTACCATCGTCCTTTCCACTGCGCGTTCGATAACGCTGAGTGACCTTTCAGCCTGCTTACGCAGCAACCAGGTTTCTGACGCATACGTTAGGGTATGAAGTCCCGTTGAGTCGAAATGGTAGATACGGAGTCGAATGTTCTTTGTTCTTTTCACTACATCCTCGATGCTTTTGAAAGCTGAAAGCATTCGGGCAGGTAACTCAATGTTAATATCGTTGTAGAATGGTGATACCTTGGTTGTGAAATTGTTGTACAGTTCACGAAGAATTTTTAAGTACTGAGTAGGGACTCCTTGATTATCAAGAGCTCCCAAGACTGCTTTTATCTCAACTGAATTAGAGGCCTTCTGTAAATCGATGAAAGTGGACAGATCGGTCTTTTCTACTCTCACGATACTTCAATGAGCTGTGTTACCGTGTCGATGTTGTCCATCCTACTAAACCCTCTTCGAACATTGCTTGCCCACATGGCTTTCCTTCGTCTAGTGTTCTGTTAATCCTGTTTAGGATGACTCGAGTGAAAAGTTTGTAGACGACAGACAGTAAGCAGATTGGGCGATAGTTGCCGATAACGTGTAGGTCATCCTTCTTGAACAATAACACGGTCTTGCTGGTCTCCCACTGAGTAGGGACCTTGCATTCAGACAGGTAACGTGTGAAGAGCCGAGCCAGTGTGTTTACGAAGACTGGCGGAAGGTTCCACAGGTGTTCTGGTCTTATCCTGTCCGGACCTGGCGCTGTTCGATTTTCACCGACGAAATGGCAAGTCGAATTTCGGAAGGGAGAACCGGTGGTAGAACATATCCATCCTCCTTTATTTCATATGACGGAAGGTGGACGTGGCTATCGAAGAGATCTGAGTAGTATTCGTGAATGATTTTCTCCATTGCCTTTCAAAACGCTATAACTGCTCCGCCCAGGCATCAGAGTGCAATCATCTTGGTTTCATAATTGGCGAAGCTTTGGTGGGCTTTGCGAATGCTTTTTCCATACTCTGAAGCTTCGACCATAGCTGCTGCTCTTCTCTCAAGATGTTTCTTCATCGCCTTTCTGCGATGTTTTGCAAGTTCGGACGTGAACTAGCAGTTACCCGTTGCTCATGCGATTCTACGTTAGCGTACTAGCACAAGTATTTCTAGAGAGAGACGTCTTTTGGTGACTTTCGAACTCTCAGCTTTTACAGCGTTAACTTGAACATGTTGAACGAGCCGATCGTATTCCTCGGTGTTATCAAAAACGGCATCTTCGCAACAGCCAACTAATGAGCTGGATAAATCCCAGTTTATGGTGGTTTTAGCACCTCGTTTTTTTGAATTTAGCCGCTTTCTGCTCTTCCAGTGAGAAATGAGTCCTTACACAATGGAATTATGGTTTGCTTCCGTGTGGAATTTTGGGACAACAGCAACATCAGTTAGACAAAACATTCGATTTGTTATGATGTGGTCTGTTCGTTCCAGCGCTCTCTATTGAGACCACGCCCCATGAACAGAGTCGAGAGCGGGCTTCTGAAATTGTGATTTGCTTCGAATGATCCTAGTCGTTATGATAAACTCAGACAGCCGCTTACACTGTTCGGTCGATTATAATCCGCGGACAGGACGTGGAAAGAAGAGGAACTGTATAAAAGGATAAAGAATGAAGCTCTCGGCGTTGATCTATTCCTAAGAGATGCGCCATGCATTCGACTTCATTAAGTATCGTTTAGAGGTGATTGAATGCATATCTGGCCTGTACAATGACTCGCAGTGGCCTACCCATGCATCGAGCCAGTGCTGCTATCCTTCCAGACAAGTCTGATACCAATTTGCCGACCCCGGAGGGTTGGAGGGCTTGGTGGGCCAAGGGCGCGGGGATCGATTCCACGTGTGTGTTGCAGGGCGCCACCGACCACTACACCACACGCACCCCTGAAGAACTGTATACTATTTCCCACGCCCGACCTCTATTAACCTCGGCATTGGTTGAATAATTCTTTCTACTTCTGTTCAGCAAAGACGAGGTGTTATTTTATTCCTTTATTCACGTACAAGCTGGCATTTCAGCTTTCGTTTTTTTGTTTCCGTTGTATACTACTTATTTATCTATTTTTGTAGTCTAATAGTTTTAGCTGCTGAACCCGATCCATTGACAAAAAGTTACATCAAGAGTAAAAGCGACACATTTTGGCATCTACCCTCCGTAACAGTTCTACATTTTTTATAAAAAATCTTTGGAGCTGAATAATTGAACAGGCGACCGTTAGAAGTAGTGCGAACCGCAGTACGTTCGCCTTCGTTTCTAAGGCCTGCCGTGGTCCATTGTGTTTATTTGCTTAAGTATGGGACTTGTACGAGTGTCACATTGTGATTTGTAAAGCGTCTGCAGTGGCGAATACTGCTGACTGACTTTGGTTATAAACGTGTTCGCTTATCTTGTAAGTGGTCGGCAGTGGTTGCCTGCATCCCTTGTGAAGCCCACTCTACACTTTTTTCGTCCATCTATCGTTTTTTCTTCTCATTATACGACCTGCTCATCCATATTTTACTATAATGTGCAATCTCCTAGATCTTGAAAGTGAAAAACACTCCGAAGATCAGAGCTTCGCATTCCGGCCAGATATTGTATGCATCGGTTATATTACAGAAGATATCGTTCAAGCGCTCTGTGAATAGTGCCCAGTATTTTTGCCGTGACTGAAGTATCAGACCACGTCACTGCTGAATAAAGTGCGCGCGAGCGCGGATTTCTGGGTCTTTAGTTGGTCGATGGCTTCCTTGAGAGACCCGAATGCGGCCAACACTGCTCTCCTCCTTCTCTCGAATTCCTCCTTCACGCTATTCTCCATATTCACTAAACGTCCAATTTACACGGACAAGGTGATCTCTGTAATAGGAGAGCCATGCAGTTCGATTTTTTCACCTTCGTACTATGCATTGCTCATGAACTGTGTCTTCTTCCTATTTATGCGAGTCCTATCATTTTTCGCGCATCGTTTAATTCGTTGAGCATCGTATCTGCTTCGTTGGTACCCCTCGGAAAGATGATAAAGTAGTCAGCAAATGAGGATTTGATAGATATTTTCCATCAATACGCATGTCCTTCTCGTTCCAGTCGAGCGACTTAATTATTCGCGGCAATGCAGCTGTGAACAGCTTTGACGAGATTGTGTCACTTTGTTGAACCTCTTTTCATAGCTTGGTAAGGGCTCCATGGAAACGCTGCATTTTCGCGACTTCATCTTGCATTTTCGTAGCGCATTGCCGACCGCAATTAACCTTTATGCAGAACAGGTTCACTCCTTGATCGACGAATACTGATAGGACTACATCGACTCGACACTATTAAACGCTTTTTCATAATCGATAAAAGTTCAAAACGAAAGGCAGATGAAACCTCCGAAAAGCTTCTATTATACTGGACATGGTTCAAATATGATCCATGTGCAAACTTACTGTTAGAATCCTGCTTGCTCGACTGGTTGCGCCTCGTCCGAGGTCTTCGATACGCGCAAAAAGAAAATCCTCGCGAGCAGCTTGCACAGTACACTCAATGAGCGAACGCTCAACAGGAAAATTTCAATACTATTCAGAACCACAATGTTCAACTTTTATTTACTGCCTCTTACAATAGATCATTCTCGTTGATAGGTGCTTGATAATAGCACCGTTAGGAGAGAAAATGGCTAGGGCAAAAGCAAAGCAAGGGCTTCCTCGATAGTGCAGTTGATAACATGTGAGCCCCAGGAAAAGGTAGACAGGTTGCAAACCCACCAGAGGCTCTGAGTTTTGCTCATATCTGACCATTTTTGTGATCGTGTTTCATTCAATACCATGCGGAAAATTTTATAAGACAACCACAACGATGCTGAGGTATTTGCAGAACTCCGGACCGCAGGTGTCTGCGGTGGGTAACGAACGCGCTATTGTCCTTTCCGGGGAGTAACGCGTTCACTACCACACCATGCGGGTCCTTCGTTTCGCCTGTCTCTCAGCTTGTTCTATGAAATACTAAGAGACAGTTTAGCTTCCATGAGTTTATTATGACGTTTTTATCCGGCTAACGTTTCGAATCCTTCGTCTTCTTCAGAGCCGGTTTGATCCGAGTCGATAGTCTACAGCCGTTCGTCATCGCGATGTAGTTCTTCGTAATCGCGTCGAGTCGAATCCTTTGCAGCAAAACACCGCTCGAAAAAAGTTGAACTAAAAAACTGAGAGAAAACTGAAAAAAAAAACAAATAAACTATGCGGAACTAACTATGCTGAACTATTTCGTTCCAAAAAATAGGCCGTTTTACAGAATCATACCGTAAGATTCCGATATAATTAGATCAGGTAGTAATTATGGTTATTAGGTATTACTGATTGTATTATTACTTCACTGAATGTGCGGGCCCCAGCATAATCTCCATTTTTCGGAGATTGGCTGGATAAGCCATTGTGGGTTCTCTGGAGTTCCGAGGTTAGCCTGACCAAAGTCTGCTCCAGGTTGTCACCACGACAGGCAGTCGCAGCTCTTGTGGATCAGAGAGAGATTTACCACCATGCAGCTTTGATGTCAGGACGGTGGTAGATCCTGGTATTGGTTTACTCTTAGCTAGGCTTCCCGATGGAAGCGCCGGACTCCTCAGCTTGGCAGACCCTGCCAGAGGGATGAATCCCCCACTGCACATCGCAACTCGACAGCCAGGAACACCTATCCATGATGAGGCGGTAAACTGTTGGGAGCGTTACTAGGTATTTGTTATAATAGATCGTTTAAAGATAGAAAACTACTCAAAGGGAGCAAACCATTCGCATAGCACTTAACACGATGAAAAAATTATGTCCATGTGAAAATCGTGCATCATTTGCGAAATGAGCCAGTTAGCTGTTCGGCACTTAATGCGATTTCGAAGAACTCCAAACTTTACACTATCGCTAATCTTGTTCCTTCCATGTTGTACACTATTTCTGTTGTTAAATTATGTCAACGCCCCTTTTTGTCCCTTTCTTCTTTGTCACCGTTTCATTTATGTTCTTCTACTCTCCTCTCTCTCTCTCTCTTTGTTCTTTCTTGCCTCCCTTTTTTCTTCTCTCTATCTTTCTCCCTCTTTGTCTTACTCATTTACTCATCCTCTCTCTCCGTCTCCCTTTCTCTACTTCTCTACCTACTTTACTTTCGAAGAAGAGATTGATTTCGTAAATAACTGCATGCACTGAAATCTTACAGCACCGTTCACTATCGGATGGCTATTGACCTTTTACTTTCAAACAACATTGGATTATTTCGTCATTTCACAGCAAATCGACTAACGTTTGGTTTTTTTAATTCACAGCTTTCCTTCTCCTTAGTTTCGATTTTGCTCCTTCAAATTTTTGTCTTTATTACTGAACACAATTCCAATCGAGTTCCTCCAACTAATTGCGTTTGTGGCGTTCCGCAGAAGACGAAAAAACCATAGGATGATGACACAGCTGAGTGGCACAGCAAAGCTGTTCTAACGATGAGTTGGCGAGTTTTGCGTCTGACGCTTACAGTCGGCCGAGTTGTCCTTAGAAAATATTTTGCTTCTGTCCCATCTCATTAGTGTCGGCTATTGCGATTCCTCGTCATATCTATCACACCGTCTTGTCTCTTCTTAAGAGAACTTTTATTACCGTTTAAACTCTACCAGATTGTTAGCAGAATGTTCTGGAAATGGTAATTTAATTTTTGGCTCTTTCTTCTTTAACACAGGTGGTTCCGCCAAAATATGAATGTTCTCGAACATTTTCTTATTACAATCAAGCAAACAATGGACGTTCTATGAGAGTCGTGGAATCGTCGAATAGGAGCGATGAATTTCAACAAGGATGCATGGGAAAAAAATTGCAAAATCCACAAAAAATGACTACTTACTTCAGATCCAGGAAAAAACCACTGTGCTTCGTTCAACAGCATTATATCCATTCCATACATCCATTAATGTCTTCTTGGAAAAGAGGGATCTCCTAAATCACTCGAAAGAGACCCTATTACGTAATATTTTGCTTGGATTTACCACCGTAATCCATTTTATGTGTTTCTACCACAACTTTCGTTCCAGCTAATTATAACAATAATCTGGTCTGCCAAAATATTCATATCATTGTCGGCAGCTACAACTTAAGCAGCCGTCTCGTTTCTGAGTAAACGCTTGATTGGCCTGATTTCATAAATATTAGGTTTATAATATATATATATTTGTTTAGGTTTATATATTTATATATAAATATAAAAGATTTCATAAATATTTATATTATTAATATAAATAATAATATTCGCTTCTAGGCAGATATTAGGGCAGACTTTGATACTCATTCCTCACTTTAGTGGTCCATTCTTACGAGTAGTACGGTTCCAGGCACAATCACTGGAAAATTGGTCACTTTCATAGCTTGGTTGCTTCTTCTGTTTCGTCACCGTACCAGCAACTCTTTGCTTCGATGAGATGGCAAACCAGCAAGGGGTTTTTGATGGGTAAATGAGTAAGTAGGATATCGTATACCGTTTGCAAAGCGTTCACTTTCCTCTCAGACACTTCCATAGACATCATGCTCATCATTTAATTGCTTATTTCGTATTCCTCCATTGAAGATTGTCAAAAAAAGGTATTTTTATAATGTTCTTTCTCCTTTTATTACTCTTTCCAACACTTCATATTGGGTTCATACTGGCTTCTCTTCACGATCCCACTTAAAATGTAGTTGTTCCAAAAGGAGATTTTTAGAAATGGAAAAAAGCGCTTCTAGGCAGATATTAGGGCAGACTTTTACAAGGCTGACCTTGGAATTCCAGGGAACCACAATCGGCAAATCTCCGAAAAGTGGAGATTATGCTGGGGCCCGCACAACCAGTGAGGACGGGCCATTCAAGTATCAGGTATTAAGTATCAAGGCATATATTGCAACATAAGACTAATCGATTACACACCTATATCGAATAAACATTTTACTATTGGCATTCATTTAGTATAAATCAACACTTCCGCATCCGGATATTCAGCTCTTACTTTACTGGAAAGATTCCATGCTGCTTAAAACCGGAGCTAGCAGATTCTCTAGGCTTGTGTTTAATCTCTCGTAAACTCCTCTTCTCATGTCTGATACGTCTCATGAACAGATGGGTCTGTATATCGTCTTTTTTTTCGCTGTTTGTTACAACTTTAAAGGTAACATATCTCTATCTGTATTACTCAAAAATCCTCCTCTGATCACTAAAAGATCAAACGACTTGAGCTGTAATTAATGTGGGAGAGGTGATTTGTGCACTACCTGTATCATTTCTTCCACCCGTATCATCTGCATCACTTGTAACACCTGTATCATCCAACTCGTCTTTCTGTACAACGGGAACCGGTTGGATATACTCATTAATTTCATGTCGGATTCTGGCGAAATACTTGTGGGTGGGACTCATTTGTTGAACTCAACTGCGCACTTATTGTTATGTATTTCCCAGAAACTTGATTACAATGGTTTTTCCAAATTGAGATGCAGTATACAATAAGCACAAAAGGTTGAGAGTGACCGACATCAGTCAATCTCTCAGGGATGTGTTATGCATTTGATTCCATTCCTAACACCGCAGAGATGAGTGAATGCATATGTCGCTTATGACGTAACTTTCGGGGATATCAGTGTTTTCGTCCTGGCTAGGCAACCTGTGTAGCAATTCTACGACGGAACGCATGGTTTGTCCGGCGTACGACATCGAACCTCTAACCATATCTGCGCTACACAGCTCGTTTAACCACTGTGCCACAAAGACCTTTATAACTGACAAGCACTGAGGCAAATCACTGCAATATTTACGTGAGTATGCCATTAAGGAATCTGAGATCTGATATCTGAGAGGATAACTGGATATAAGTGCATCTGATACGGCAGAAACAACAAAGCCGACGCTTTCAGTCCATTTGGGTGATAGAGTAAGTACTTCGTGTCGCCTTAGGTATCAGCTATCTTCTCAGATGAGTACTTCGATTGTTGCCTGAAGAGTCACCAACCAAAACGAGAATGCAAAGAATGCTATTACAGTTTTTATCCTCGACTCATTCCGTAATTCATACATATCTATGAATTTATTATACTTCCTTCAAATTGCCTACACTGAAGCATTTATTGGATTATAGAAATGGGTTTGCTCGTCTTTCTTCTTATTTTATTACAGTTTCTTCTTAGAAAATGATTACACTGGATTTTAAGAGGGCTGTGAGAAATCCTTCTTCTTTTTGCCGTCATCGATCCTATTTGTGTTAGCTGTTTACGCTTTTGGTTATATCTTAATTGTTTTACACGAATTTCGTTGTTGTCATCGCAACGTACTAGTGATGACGATGAAACGTGGACGAGTTTTCATGTGTCTAAAGGTGTTCATTGTTGTCAGATGACGAAACGGCTTAATACTGATGAAGTGCAATGCTTCACATCGCCATCAAAAGCGCCGTGTTTCGATGGAGACGAGAATGACGGTACGTTTTTTGTTTTATGTTTTCTATGGAGATTCATACGATATAAGCCAATCAAAACTTACAGAGTTCATCAGAATGCATGCGAATTTAAAAGTATTTAAGATTATGGTGTAAAAAATAGCTGATGAGAATGATTCGATATCGATGTTAATGCCTTGAAAAAAGAAGGAGCATTCAGCATCGATAAATCCTCTTAAGGATGCGCCATGCATTCTACTCCGTTCGTAGTATTGTTAGGATGCACATTGGGCCTATAAAGCGACTTGCAAGGATCCATCGGTGTATCAGTTCAGTGTTTTTATCCCGACCAGACAAATTTGGTATCACTTTGCCCGCTCACAAACGATAAGGAACCTTGCTCACCCAGAATCCGAGACCGAACAAATGACCATGTATGCGCTACAAGGCACCTTTAGCCTCTGCACTACGCTCTCTCAATAATGTAGTCAGCTGCTTGAAAAAGTTTGGAGAATTGAACAAATTTATGAAATAATCTGTGCTTCATCAGGGTTTTACTTTTGTAGAGACCTTTTCCTTCTTCTATTAATAAGCAAAGTAGTAAGTGACATTTTCCTCATTATTTCTTTTATTTTCTCAGTAGTCATTTCGTAGAGTAATGCTTGATTTATTGTCATTTTTCATGACGATGACGTCATTTTAACACCACTTCGCAGATGATTTCGTAAGAAGTGAGCTGTTCTATATTTCTTTTGAATAAACAGTAAAAATTGTAATATCTCCGTTTATTTATAAACTTGTGTGAATATTCAGTAAAACGCAGTTTTGACGAACTTCGCTCTGTATGACCTTCTTCAGAGCCACAATGTTCCTATTAGGGTGTCCACATCGGTTGTTGCTTGTCAGTCAGATGTCTTCGACGTTATCGCAATGAGTTTAATCGAGTAAAATGGAGCATAGTGCATTGAAATAAGGTTATTAGTATAATATTGCTAATTTACGGAGGTAGATTCATGGCGTGAAGACATCGGCCGGATGTTGTCGATGACGCAGAATTTGTTAGTGTAACAGGATTAGAAAAGCAAGAAAAAGAGCAAAATCGGAGATCGCAATGTTTACTTTTTATTTTCTGCCTTCTATAATTTTTGTGGTAGGGTATTAAGCGAAATATAACCACAAGATTGGTGAGTTACGTGCAAAACTCCGGATCTCAGGTGTCTGCGGTGGGGAACAAACGCGCTATTTTCCTTTCCTGGAAGTAACGCGTTCACCACCACACCATGCAGGTCCTTCGTTTCGCCTGTCTCTCAGCTAGTTCTATCGATCTGTGCCGTCAGCAATCACCTCCCGTTGACAGGTGGGCCACAGGCGAAACGAAGGACCCGAATGGTGTGGTGGTGAACGTGTTATTCCCCGGAAACGACAATAGCGCGTTCGTTCCCCACCGCAGACAACTGCGGTCCAGAGTTTGCAAAAATCAGAGAATTAGACAAACCCATGACGCCTAGTAACCTGCCAACTGCTTGTAACTGTTTTCTCTCTAAAAAGTAGTAAAAGAAAAAGCTTCGTACCAGCAATGCTATGGTCGATATATTTTTTTTATATGATCTTATAAACTGATCTGGTTTAGCTGATGCGAGGTTGGCATAAGTCTTCGTTGTTGTTGTTGTCGTTGTCGTCATCGTTATCGTTTTTGTTAGTGTTCTTTCTTTGATAAGTTTACAAGAGGTTGACAAACAGTTTTATTGGGCTAACATTTCGACATCTCCGTCTTCATCAAAGCCGACGAACCTAGTCGATAGTCCACTGTTCTTCTTCGTCTCGTTGTGGCGTCTTCGCCTTCCTATCCAGCTGTGTCTTCCTCAGCGGACCATCTCCCGAATGAGGCATACACTCAGTGATGATATTTTATGCAGGACTCTGATGGTTGGTAGCTGTGATAGTTCGGTAATGGTAACTTGTTTTTCCGGACAACAAAAAATGTTGCTGTTAGTGTTGTTGGTCGATGGTTAAAGTTGAAGTCCTACTCGTAAAAACAGGAAGGCAAAATCGCCGAAGCGTCAGCCATCGACAAACAACACTAACAACAACGACAACGACGACAACAATAACAATAAGGACAACGAAGACCTATACCAGCCTCGCATCAGTTCAACAAGATCTGTTCATAAGATCGTATAAATAAATATATTAACTACCTATGCCGAGGTTTATAAGAAGTTTACCCTTTGAATTTTATGCTCCTCGTGTCCCTCAAGCGTTCTTTAATCCGTTTTGACAAATTAACTTACAGGTGCTCTTCACAGTTGCTAAATATTTTACAGAAATATGAGTGATGCAAGACAAGGTTAATGCAGTCACTCGTTCGTCATTATTATAATACACTATGATGTAGTATTTATACTGAGCAAAAGAATTGCTGACATATTTGGTTTCTATCTAAGCCTAAAATTTCTTATGTGGCCCATCTTATAGCGCGGATCCGACCATCTCCTTCATTCGGTCCTGTGTCTCGCATCCGTAATCCACGATAGTCTACGAATTCGAGTTTAGATTCATCTGTAAAAAACTTGAGCACTTTTATTCTCAAGCTCGTTGAGTGTTCATCTTCACAACAGATAGCCTCCAGCCTTGTGAATGGGATGGAGCTTTTCCGAGACAAGTTTCATACGTATCTATCAACCGTGAAGATATGAAGAGCCTAGTTCACTCTTAACTTAATTTTACCTTATTTTATTCATGATACTTTGGGAAAAGGCTTGTAAATATTGAGCACATGATGGCGACAGCTATAGGGTGAGATTCCTTCAGGGTATAGTTCCTTGTCTGAAATTGTCGTTGACATGGTCGCAAACGAATTTTTCTACTTGGACTTCTTCGTTCACGTGTGACTACGAAGCATATATGATTTGTAATGAAATTTGTAGTGGCTGTCTTTTTCTTCGAAGGAAAACAGTCAACAAGAACAGGACCGCTTCCGAGAACGGTAAACATTAGTTCAGGTAAATGTACTCCTTCTGTTCAAGATAACAATTTCCCTTCAATGGCTTATTCAGCTCCGACCATTAGCTTCTGAATAGAAAAAATTAGAGTATAGTCGAACTCTTAGAATAGAAAATTCTGGCTCGCCATCAAATTGTCGAGTTCTCCTTTTTTGTGCATTCAAATTGTTCATAAGGACTCCTGAATAGTTGAATTCGAAGCTTCAAGATTTCTTAGAGACCAATTCAGAAGCCGATTTCTTTACGTTTGTCGACTTTGATCTACGATCGATACGCCTTTTTTCATGTCAGCTTTAATTAGAATATTTAAGTGTAAGGTTTTCCTATTAACATTAATCCTGGATTATTGCCGACAACAACTGCTCATTCTTTAATCAGATTAAATTCAACGTTTTTATGTTATCCTGAGTTAAATTTCCTTCGAAAATCCTACCAAATTTTAATCTATATGGTGGGTTTAAAAACATTTGAGCTATATAGTCAGTTTCTGACGTCATCAAGGATTTAATTTATTAATTATTTTGTTGGTGACGTCAGTTAGATTTCCACCCTTTGATGTTATTTTTCGTGGCAGAATCGCCTTTCAATTAAACCGTGATGGAATACGGAAGACGAAGAGAGATCGTGGTAACGATGTTTTATTACCCGTCCATGTTTCTTCATTCTGTAAATTCACTTTTGATTTTCAGTGTTGATAAATTGTTAGAATAAACTGTAATTTCATGGTTTCCTTGATTACAATGAGAATTTTGGTGCATTCCGAGGAGCTTTACTAAAGCGAGGTAATAGGATGACTTCGTAGTATTCAATGTCTAAGAAGCCTATTCACTCTGTTGAACTGCTGCATCCTTTCAAGAACACCGTGCTCGAGTAGACGCAGAGCCAGAACTTAAGACTGAAGTTGATGTTTTCTTCTGGAGCAGATACGACGTCTTTATTAACAAGGTTTATTCAATAGTGGTCGACGCTTCGGCGATTTCGCCTTC